CCACATCTTTGCAGATCCTCTCTAACGCTGGTTCGACTAAGGTTCGAAACAGCACGCTGCATGTGGAAGCGTCCGCGACATGGGAAGTGAGATGTCCGAGGAAGGTCCTTGCCGCAAGTACGACTTTTGCGACATGAGCTCTAGCAAACTCTTCCCACTGCGATGACTGCTCGAAGAAGAGGTCAGATACTATCATGGGGCTGAAGGTGCCAGGCAGTTCTCGGCCACGGGTATGTTTCATGAGACCCTCGATTCGCTTGAGAAACTCGGGCCGGCTGAGGATTCTCTCCTTCGGTATCGCTATTGGTCTCACTGAATGTCGTTCGTCAGAAGAGTTGATGATGGAGAAGTAGTGTCCTGCATGAGTCATTTCTTCCGCAAAAGACTGATTGAGGCTTTGCACCACAGCACGAATGCGCTTCTGGTAGCCAGCGTCAGTCTTAGCGTCGCCAAAAAACTTGTCGTTGTAAGTCCCGTCGACGGCGGCTTTCGTGAGAGTCTGGCATGATTGACTTAGAGTGACTAGATAGTGCCGTTGTTCGTCGGTAGTAGCTCGTGGCTGGCCTAGCTTTTGAAGTACAGCGCGACAAGCGGCAGACTTGAGTTCAATCTCGTCCACAAGACTGGGGAGTTCTGCCGCAATCTGAACAAGAAGGAGCTTGCTCAGTCGCTCTCTTAATGATACAATGCCAAGGATAGACTCGGGCAGCGCGGGCCACACTCCCTTGGAAAAGAAATGCTTTTCTTCTTCATCACGCTTAGAAAGAACCCAAGATCCGGTTTCTGAATCCATATTCTTGAGAACATGCCACCCAAGACGAAATTCCACATCGAGATTTTTGGCGAGCGATGCGTACATGGTTTCGCTGGCAGATCCTGGAACCAGACTATCAGGTTTCGTGATCACCCCGAGGGTGCGGGTGCCAGTTTTCTCAGCAGCTCGGGCGAGCTTGAGCACGATTTGGTTGGCGTAATCGTTCTTCGCAGACACAACCGCAAGGATGATGCTCCTGGGCTCTTTCATGTACGACTGGACGACGTCTTGCACAAGATCGATATCAGCTGCAGATTGCTGTTTGGTCTCTGAATGAATGAGACCTGGCAAGTCCACGATTGTGAGATGAGGTCGATCAGGGCCAGAAATCTCAATACGCAAGAGATCCTTGGAAAAGGCTCGACCGAGACTGCCAATGGCCATGGCTGTCTTGGCATCTTCGATCAGCTTTGGAAGTGCAGCAAAGCTATCGAGCGTCTCGCAGAAGCTTTGGAGAGATTCACGCTCTAGTTCGCTGCGCGAGCGGTCTGCGACGATGGAGACGCTGACGCCGATGTTTGATGTCTTTCGTAGCACTAACTCAGTTGGAAAACGAGTGCACAAGTTGCTCTTGACCGGAAAAGATACACCAGAAATGGCTTCAAGAACAGAGCTTTTGCCAGAAGATTGATCGCCACAAACAATGATTTGTGGGAGCGAAACATAATGATCGATCCCCTGAGAGCGAAGACGATCTACAGAGTCAAGAAGGTCTAGTTGATCTTTTGAGCAGAGTTCATGGACGATGCGGGTATCGAATGGCTTGATAACCATTATAAACGAAAATCTCAGGTGGTGCGCTGTTTGTGTATCTATAGGGAGAAGTGAGTCGATGATTGTCCTGAAAGTCCTGGTCTTATGGCCAAGTCTTATATACAGGAGTTCTGAATCTCCAAGGTCCAATCGACAGGATTAGGCTGTTAGTCACTAGATCCGTCTCTGTGGCACATAGTCCGATCGTAGCACCCGCTATTCATCTCTCACCGAACGCACAAGTCAGCTTCCGCCATCATTCTTGAGCTTGTGGCCCAGTTGCGTGCGACATCCGGAACCATTGCTTCTTAGCCTGCAGCCAACTCTTTACATGCATGGTAGATGTGCATCTGTCCGGTAAGACATCTGCATACTGATCATCGCAAAAGCAAGCAGTAGCCTTGCATCGGCGCATTGTTGATAACAGAGCGCATCTATGCGATGATTGGATACATACGATAAGCAGCAGACTCTAATCATTACCCCTCGCCGCTTATGTGCAGAAAGCTATACACTTTTGTATATCCCAACCTATCAGGCAACGTAAGTTCGTTTTCGTACATACTTATCGCACGGCCAGCTTTGTTTCGAACGGCTGAGACTTTACTGTGATGATACGGAGACATGCACCTCCACATTTGGTTACTTCTATCGGGATAATGACCACAGCGTGCTTGTGGTAAGCCAGCACGCGCTGGATGATTGCTACAGATGCAAATCGCAACTCGTTGAGCAGTTGTTAGCGTCACTCATCGCAACAGAACAAGCTGATATGAGATTCATCCAACTCTACTTGCCGCACACTTAGGTGCGGATGTTGTACAATGGATACTTCGAAGAGAGTGTATCAGTACTGTGGCAACGAAGTAAACCCTTTTCATATCCTCTGAGGCCGCTAGCAAGCGGATAGTAGGTGTTAGAATCCCACACTCGTATTCTATCGGTGGGCATCACAGAGACTTGAATCGATCCTTGATCTTGTAAAGCCTGAGCCTAGCGCTATTACGATCGGAAGCTAGCTGCTCCACTCCAAGATTCCTGTCCCAGACGCTCGAATCTGTATTGCACCATAGTACTGGGCATTGTAGCTGACGTGGCAGGCGTTCATTGGACCATAGTCACGTCTTGTCCAACACTCCACCCAGCATTTGGTAAGTAGGAAATGCCGACTTGTCCAGAAACCACACCCACCTGGCGACACGATCAACGCAGTGATCTCAAGAGCAGAACTCCTGGACACGTAATTGTAGAAGGTTTCGTATAAACTAGTTTGATTTCTTAGCACGGTATTGTATCTAGACATTCACCATAAGGTAACAAATTACCATATAAGCGCACACGGCCAAAAAAAACCTATCAACAAGAGTGCAATGTAGTCGATGACGCACTAGTTAGATCACCTAGCTGCATCACGAAGGTAGACACAATCCTTCATGAATGATCGACATATGCCGCACCATGAACTCGATCGAGTCGCATGACCTAAGCGGATGAAACAGGGCTTGGGGTTCATTAGCGCTGCGTAACTATATATACAGCGGACCTTTTCAACCTTTTTTTAATCAATTTTCCAGAGTGGGTGTTCTTGTATCTCGATCATTTAGATGCATCCATACATCCTAACGTTCCAAGGTTCTACAACTCTTCAAGGCTGTCAGATGGCACCATAAGATGTGATGGAAGGGAATTTCGAATCCATAAAATCGTGCTATGCGCTCAATCGAAGTTCTTCTCCAACGCTTTTGACGGCAGATGGAAGGTAGGTGTTGGCAACGTTGCAAGATCGCCGCTAAGAACCATAATTTAGGAGTCAGCGGAGGGAGTCATTCCATTGAATGACGATGACGTATCCGTTGTTGAGGCGATGCGTCGATTCTTATACTCATTTGACTACGACGCCAGTGGGAGTACGACCGGTGTTGCTTCGCCAATGGCGTTCAACGCCAAGGTATATAGCATAGCAGACAAGTACGACATTCCAGCATTGAAAACTAGTGTCAGCCAGAAATTTGAGGAATCAGTAAGAAATTGCTGGAATATGGACGGTTTTCCGTTCGCTATTGCGGAAGTATATAGGTCCACCCCGCCGAACGATCAAAGGCTCCGAAGTGTGATAGTCGACGTCGCATGCGAACACATCACAGTGCTGTTGTAGAAGCAAGGGTTTTGCGAAATCTTGGAAGAAATTGCTGGCTTTGCTATGGATCTGATCCAGATTCAGGCGAGCACAAAGGAAAACAACGGAAAGCAGACCAGAACTAAGTAGCGCTGTCCGGACCGCTCCGGTTTGTTCTGAACTGTGGGAAGCTGTCTTGCCTTCTGAACGTGCTTACTATTGCCCTCACTATGGCAGTCACCGCTCGAATTGGAGCTCGTATATTGTAACATGATGGATACGAAATCTCTTTGAGGCTATTCGCTCATGTGATTCTCACACACTATTCTATGGCAAATCATGGTCTACTCAAAGATATACCTTTAAAGAAGAGTCGGAATTGTACAAGCGAGACAAGGATATTGTAAACAGCGATAACAATGATTGTTAGGCAAACCAGTGAATGCAGCGCAAGAAGTGCTTTTTCGAGATGAGACAGTATCGCAACAGGCGCTAACCCAATGTGGAGCCCTGCGGATCCGGCAGGTCGTATGTCCCCCGAGGTAGAATAGCGTCATGACTGGGTCTGTCATGGTACAACCTTTCAGATATGATCTGGACGCCGAAGAAGATCGCATTTTCCGACCAGGCAGATCTGGACAGAAGCGAATGTTCCATGTCTCTTCTTACCTTGTCATTGCCATGCTTTTACGTAAACAGCATGAGAGGTGGAGTCACCCTAGCCAATAATTTCTGTTTTGGTACCGTGCTTGGCTTCAGGGGTGTTGAGAACGCCTTGCTGCTAGCCATGCGCGACAATCACATAGAAAAGCATCGTGTTCCCTCTCTACCTATCGAACTTTGACTTTTTTGTTCACCGCAGCGATTGATGCCAGTTCCCTCACTACACCATGCTTTGATTCTTGTGTATATGCCGCCTAAAACCGTGCTCTACTGAACTTTCCGTGGACCGATAACTTGAGTCTATTGCAACTCCGTCCACGTCTTCATGTAATATGCGAGGATGTATAACGCGGCAGAAGTCATAACTCGACGAAGCGGCTCTCTGTCATCATATCAATTCGTTACTTCTCAACACATCAAATCTCTTCTCCTATGAGCTGCAGGCGCATATAGAAAACCGTGGCCTAGACTGCAGCTGTTGGTCGCACTAGATGAGAGACCCTATGGGGTGACTGCAGATCTTGATGTGTTCACTGTGCATGAAGCATACTATTGCAGAACCGGTGGTTCTCTAAGTCATGCCTCTGTTCTAAGGGAAACATGGACCATTCTCTACTACAAAAAATTCAGATCAGATGTGCGAGGTTGGTATAGCTATCGCTTCAGTCCACCCATAGCTTCTCTGAAAGTCTCCAAACCTCTCTCCAACATACACTTTCTAGACTCCAGGTGGAAGCGCTGCTGCGTAATCTCGGGAGGCTCAGCAGCGACAAATCCGACCTCTTTCTCTGTCATTTGCGTTACGACCAGAGGCGAAAGAATGATTTCAGGGAGAGGTTCGACCAAGTGACGCTCGATGACAGCCTTAGTGACGGCACTGACAAAGTACTTCACCTCATCCTTGTAGAATGCGCGCTCAGTATCAAGAGCTTCTTGGCTTGAGAAGACGTCCATATCTGGCTCTATCGCTTTGTCCATAGCTACTGCAAGCTTATCAGGGTCAAGAGGTGTACGTGGCCCATAGTCAGGATCGAACATGCTGACTTCTGAGGCTTCCGAGGCTTTCTCAGTGATCTTCTGATTTTTGCGTTGACGCATCTTTTGGACAGTGGTGGTGAAATAATGGTTGTAAGTGGTGGGATGACGAGCTTTGTCTTTCAGAACCTTTTTCAGTTCTTGTTGCGCGCCAGCAAGGGCCTCAGTCAAAGCACCATCCACATAGAGAGTTCTTAGCTTGTCTTCGAACTCAGATGGAGCGGCATCTTGCAGCACAGTATCGACAAACTCCTTACAAGCACTCGCAATTGTGGTAACATGCTGAGATGCAATCTGCTCCCATGGCTGAGACTGCTCCCAGAAAAGCTGCGATATCAGCATTGGTTGGAACGTGCCAGGAAGCTCGTGGCCACGAGATCGCTCTAGATTATTCTTGACCCACTCAATGGCTTGTTGACGTGTGAGCTTTGTGGGCCTGGGGAGGAACACAAGTCTCGGATGTTCGGCGACGTTGTCAAGTTCTTCCTGCACTTTTCTGTCCTCTTCGATTTCTCGCTCTTCATCACCGGGTCCAGCTCCAAACGCGTACTTATGACCCCTCAAGCGCATATCGTTGGCAAACTGGATGTTGAGGTATTGAATCACGGCTCGGAAGCGGCGAATGTTCTCGGGCGCATCTATAGCTGCGTCCATATTGATCGATCCGAAAAATGGCGACTCGTAGTAGCCTTGAGTAGCAGATTTGAGGGTGTCGCTGATGCGCATGCTGATCTTCATCAGAACCATGCGTTGCTCATGAGTGGTGTCGCGCTTGTCGCCTAGCTTCTCAATCTCGGCAATGGGACTCTGAAGTTTGCTGACCATCTCGTCCTTTAGAGAAGGGAGCTCCTTGATCAAATGGTTAAGCAGCACCTTGCTGAGACGCTCGCGCAAGGAGTCGATGCCAACGCACTCACGGGGCAGATCGGCATAACGACCTTTGCTAAAGAACAAGTCCTCGTCTGCGTTGCGTTCCTCGAAAGAGAACTTCATCTGATCATCACCACGATTCTTAAGCATGTGCCACCCGCGCTCCAAGTAGATGTCCTTGTTCTGCGCCAATTCGATCCAGGCTTGTTCGTTGTCGGTTCCTTCACGGAGAAAGTCGGGCTTGGTAATGATACCAAGGGTGCGGCGGCCTTGCTCGTCGATCTTGCGGCAATGGTCAAGAATGATTTGATTAGCGTAATCGTTCTTTGCGCTGACCACTGCCAAGATGATGGTGCGCGGATTCTTCATGTATTCCTTGACCAGGTTCAGGATCAGCTCCTTATCGGTTTCCGTTTGCGCTTTGTTGGTCGCATGGATGAGGCCCGGAAGATCGACAAGAGTTCTGGCCAACATTTAGCAGATACTTGATAGCTTGCGTGAATGACATACAGCTGCGGCCTGGCTGGGCCAGTTATCTCGATCGACAGCACGTCACGAGAGAATGCCCTTGAATTGATCCCACCTACGACCCCGAGACCCATCACTTGCGTCGCCTCTTCAATCACATCTGGGAGCTGACTAAAGTCGTTCATGGACTTGCTGAACGACTTGAGCTTGGCTTGCTCCGACTTCGGGCGAAGCTTGTCTGGAGTGATCGTGATCGTGCTGGTCGACGATGCAGAGCGACGGAGGATGATCTGAACTTCATTAGTATAACGCCTGCGGTATCTGAGATTTTACTCACTTCAGTCGCGAATCTTGTGCACAGGTTTTCCTTGCGAGGAAACGGGATCTCAGTGATAGCTTCGAGCACAGAACTTTTACCGGATGACTGGTCACCGCAGACTACAAGCTGAGGTAGTTCCACAATGCCACTGAGCCCTGTACGTCGCAGCTTGTCTACGATATCCATAACTTTGCGTTGATCTGCAGATTGTAGAGCGTGCAGCGAACTTGTAGTAACTGAGTCCGGGTCGATGGACACTGTCGGTGTGGCTGACATCTCGACGCCTTCGAAATCAGACTCGCTAGACGTGCTACTCGCCATATTCGCAATCGGAAATTTTGGGTTGACGAAATGACAAGCTATTGAGTCAAGGCAATACGGAAAAGATAGATGGACGAGTAGAATGATGATCTAGATGTGAATCGAAAGAGTCGGTCGCAGGGAATGCAAAGGGAACAGACAGCGATGCGTTGAGCGGGTAGTTGAGCTTTCGCTTCTTACAGTGTACCGCGGACTTGGGAGACACTGTTGAGATTTTATACTGCACTGCTAACTCCAAAAGCTGTCTTGGAGAATAAAGGACAGTAACCAGTACTACCCTGTCGTTGTCGTTGATCAGATGATCCTAGAAACTCGGTCACATTAGAAGATGCACCCTCACTCTTCCTCCCTATACATGGTTGGTAGTTCTCGCATATCTCTGAGACCACGTCACCGATGGCTTGCATGGCATGCATGACCATGAGAGAGCGCCTTAAACCCTTTACAATTCCGTGGTGTAACGGATCTTGCATTGCTGATTCAAAAAGCTGCTATTCGCCTCTGGGCAAAACTAAGCCAGGCCTCTAGATCGCCAGGAATCATTCTTGCGATTGCTTCTACTGACCATCCTATGCATGAGGCGCAATATGTAGTTTTCAGATCACGCTTTGGTATTAGTGTTACTGTCTCTGCTGACCTAGGAAAATCCACAAGGGCCAGTTGCCTCGACTGCGTTCTTTCTACCAGATACTAGCGCTTGGCTTATAGCATCATCTGCGGCATCAATTGATATCATATTTGGCGTACGTCAGAACATTGTGTCCAAACATATATGGAAAGGAGGGGTAAGAAACGCAAAAAAAAAGAAAATACACAGTGGTGAGAAATCTATGCATCCAACGTCACAGGCCCAAAAATCCGATTCACGCGCCACTTCGATAATAGTTCACTAGAATCGAGTAGTTCTGATATTGAAATGACGTTCTTAACGCTCCTCCAAATGACAGTCATGATACCAGAGTGGAGGTACTTGGCTGAGAGGACCCGACAGCTTATGCCATTAACGTAGAAGCATGGCTATAGCATGCTAAGAGCAAGAGACATAGAACACTCACTCTATGTAGAACCCTGCAATCGGAAAGCACGATCGACACTAGCTCCCTCACAACGTCTTGCAAGGCTTTGCCATGACATACTGTCGCAGGCCAAGCGTCGTCAGGAGCATGAATCTTATTACCAAGAACGCAGTGCGATAACCTCGATTTAAACCGAGCTCGGAATTCAGGAAGGAAAAACAATAACAGTATACACTCTGTTCTAAATATTCGGTCGACGATACACATACCCAATCGTCAGACACATATGCGAACACAACGCTAGTCTATTTCGGGGAACACACAGCTTCCAGATACCGCAAGTTTCCGTACCAGATAGTCTGAGACCTATCATCTACTGTGCTCGTGCTGTATAATCACCCATAAAAATGGTTTCTCGCAACACAACTCAGCAGAGTATCCCAAACACGTGCGTGGCAAACTGTCATATCGATAGTCTTCTGGCCACAGGATGTCGTTGTTGCGACTTTCGGCTTGATACAGTGGTAATGAGATTCTACGACTTTAGAGAAGCTTGACAAAGTAGCCAGACCTCTTCGCCGTGCCTTGATGCCTCCGGGGTCTGGAAAATTTGTCGAATCTTGCAGATAGCATCCTCCACAAAATCTTGCACCTTCTGTACGACCCACTTGGTTGCCTCCCATACTGCAGTAATCCCTTCATTAATCTTTTCGAAGACCCATTTGATGAAGTTGAGTACTCGTTTAAATATGCGCTCAGTCCAACCCTGCGCCTGTTCAGCATAGTTCCCTAGCTTCGCAATCTCAGATTGGTTCAAGTGGAGCACTTCAACAATGCGAACCGATTTTTTTATCAACCATTCCGTAAAGCCATCAATCTGCTGATTTATGTTGTCCTTTATCTCCTGGGCCTTTTGTTTCAACTTGCTTTCCAGTTCCTCCGCCGTCATTTTAGTATCCCTCAATTCCTCGGCATATTTGTTGTACTCTTGTGCCATCTGGTTGCCGTGCCGGGCAACTTTTTCTGTATGATGCTGAATGACTTGTGCAGCCTCGTCAAGGTTTTGAGGGCCGTCGAGGAGTTTTGATTCGTTGTACCTAGCATCGTTAATAACATTGTAAATATTGTAAAATAACATAACATAGGATTACTGCTCGCATGATCTTCTGGGGAAAGCACAAAAAATGCTACATACCGCATGGCCATATTCGCTATCTAGATCTCGTTGTTGCACGAGACGTGGAAGGGAAGTAATACAGAATCGAGACTGCAGTAGTCTTTGATGGAAGCGCGACAAGTACATTAATGAAGCAGGTGGGGTGAAGAAGGCCAGGTTTTTGAACCCCGCTTTGGCTTACCCTATGCGACGCAATCACGGATTGGCCCATATCGAAACATCTCAAGGAATGTCCCAAGTACAACAACAGATTTCTTGATGTCAAGATGGGCAATGAAGGCAGTGGTCATGTGACCCTGTCGACATGACTAATTAGCGTTATTACTTAGTCTCAGGCCCAGCTTGATTGATGAGATAACTCTTACACCCCCAAAATTGTGACACTTGATCGCCCTCGAAACCGTCGATCGACCGAACCTTGTCACCACTTTCGCATAATCTTCACTGATAGACGATCTGCAGCGAAGTCGGGAGTTGGTGTAAGTTAGCATACGGTAGTGATGATGACAGCCAACTATCTACACCTATCACAGACACGGTGACGTAGCGGCATTCCGAGCCGCGACACCGCAATGCAACAAACTTCGACAAAGCGCAGGCATCCTCTAAGCACAACGATCGCGCTATGCACAACACAGCCACTGATATGCTCCCCGGCTAGTCCATCGTACTTGGACAAAGTCTGCAATGTCCTGCATCGACACGAAAGCAGTTGTGCAGAAGGATCGAGAGTCCGAGGAGTTTCCTAGCCAAGATTGATAAACAAGAAGATGAGTCCATGTCGCAGCTTGCGCCTGGGTTAGCACACTAGCCAATGCATTGTTAGTCGAGCGGGCGTACGCTCCATTAGCTACCCTGTGCAATCTTATGAGTCACAAAACCATCGTATGCGCTGTGTAAGCTGCGATGCGGGTGCCAGCGTGCTTGGCTGCAGCCGTTCCGAGCCGTCGCGCCTATTGTGTTGAGGCCTGTGCTTCTTATCAGCGTTGATCGGTGTCCCGCCGATGCCAGCACAGAAAGAAAAGTTCATTCGTCCGTACTGTGTACTTGCGGTGTGGAATGACGTTATGTGATTGCCAACGATGTGGGCGCATGTCTTGTGATGAAGGCCCACTTGATTGCACTATTCCCAATACAGTCTTTGCAGCAAGCACCTGTGGTAATAACCTCTTTCGGCTAGCGCATGGGCTCACCGGATTCGCTTCGCTCTACTCTACCGTACCAGTCTGCCTTGTGTCCCCATAGTGTGTGGGTCAGGCTTTCCCAAGCACTGCAACAACACAAAAGTTTCGGGGTGTCATTGGATTGCAACGTACCTCCTTTGGCTAATGTTGCGACGCTCGATGTGTTTCTCTGGTCTGCATTAGATTGTCCGATCAGCAACACGCTGCCAACGTGATTCATGACACTGGTTGGAGAATTTTGGTATCACCATCAGGCAGTCTGCGGGGGGGTACACGATAGAAGATGTTCGTTCGCGCATTGATTGCCATCACAGCACCTACGATCGCGATATCCAGAATTTGCTCTGAGAAGTTGTCCTGACGATTGTACTGCACCACGAACCTCGTTAGCTTGATTGTCGCTTCCATGCATTAGTGTAGTCAACCCTACCCCATCCCCCGTACAGCTACAGCCGACTGCGGGGTAACATGGCGGGACGCGCAAGTCGATCTGCGTCCGTTGTTTAGCTAAAGCCGATCAGAGGTAGAGGGCGCGGAACCAGCCGCCGCTTGCCATTAGCGCTCGCTTGCGATCGGTGACTGCATACTAATGCATCCAGTCACGGCTAGCAATAACAACGTGACATGAACAGACAGGCTTCGTGGAGAATGTGTGGCTCATTTCGAGCACTTTCGACAGCATCAATGCCGACCTTAGGCGCGCCACTCTCTTTGTTAGAAGGGAAGTCATCATCGTTTGCGTGGTCTTGGCATCTTGCGACTGCGAATGCTGATGCGGACTGGCGTTAGCCGAGGGTGGCTTATGAACAGTAGGGGCGCGCCGGACACGTTATCGTAGGCGAAGTACTATCGAAACCATGAACCCCACTACCAACAACATCATGTATCGCACGGTTAGGTGCGGGTATTGTGGATAGAGAAGTTAGAGGAATGTATGTTTTTGTCGTTGCTTTCAGCACCGTAGCTCAGTATATATGAAAGTCATTGCACAGCATTATTAGTAACAAGGTTTTCGACAGCGCTTAGCCTGTGATATACGAACTCATTGGTTTTGTTACGTATTTTCCATAGGACGATGGACTTCCCAAAGTCGTAGTGGGCAACAAGGTCGATATGAAGGTCTCGATTAAATTGTACGTGGTGGAGCATCTGATCTCGCTGAGCACTGCACCTAGCTATAAGCTGGACTTGGCATATAGATGACTGGCTTAGCAGACGTCATCGTACTGAATCTACCCTTGGTTGATTGAGCGGTGATAAGGTGGGTGAACGAATCGTATAGTATATGATAGCTATGCAAAGCCGCTTCTGCAACTACTTTCCAGATGAGTATCTACTTTGACCATTCCCTGAACTGTAATACGTTGAGCCCTTTTCATGTCAGCACGATAGTGAAAGGTGTCATGAAAGCTGTTGGCTTACGTTGGGATTGCTGTAATAGTAAGATCCATCGCTATTGGAGTAATGGTAGGAGTTTTGGTTCGAGGCATTAGAGCCATAGTCGCGAGAGCAGTAGTGGTTGCCCTAGAGTAAAACACGTGTGAGATATCTTGGAAAGCTTTCTTACGAAGTCGTGCCCTTACCTGGCTGTTGGTGCCAGAGCTGGTTGTCGTGTATCCGCTTCCGCCGGAAGTCGACTGAGAACCACTGGAGGTCGAAGATCCTTTTGTCATGATAAGAGCTGATCGCAGGAGCAATTGTGTTAGAAATGGGCTTGAAGTAATGGTGAAGGGCTAGGATTTTGATCTTGCAAATTGAATCACGCGGGGTCAGCACATATATTCACTGCCACAACGAATCGGCCCGATGTGCCTCCCCCCCTTTAGCGGCACCTAGCTATGATACTACTGTCTAGGTAGCTTCCCAAACAGACGTCAGCGTACTGAAGACTTTTGTTCGACGAATGAGGCACAACCTCACAGCGACAGATGCATGAAATTACAAGTACGAACAAGTGGTCGCATAGTTCGACAACATTTTGAGATTATGAGATCGTGTAAAGAAGCGCAAGATGATATCATAGGACGCACCTGCTGCGCTGAAATTCTGTATTACATTCAGGCTATATCACTAAATAGGAAGTAGCGTATGTTGAAGAAGACTCAGATGCTGCTCAAGGATAAGTGTGGTGTGCAAGCACGTGTGCGGCGTGCGAGAGGATAGAAAAAGAGTGACAAAAAATGGCTGAGGAGCATGGTGAACACTCTACCACATATGAGTCGTTTCATGCACCTCCGTTGACCGTCAACAGTAGCGGCAATAGAATGAGTCAGCTACGCAAATTTTGTTGGCAGAATCGATTAACAGGCCTACATGTCGCTCCGCTTGAGAGTCTAGACAAGACAGCATCTGTAATGTGACTCAGCAATGTCATGTGTATGGGTAACCTTGATTTGCCAGTAGCGGCGCTAGCCTCTTGTGGGTATTGCGACAACTCATGTTTGCAAACAGCTGAACAAAGCTTAGCGCGGTAGATGCGACTCGCATCATGTATGGTCGTGTCGCACACCTTATTACAAGTGGGGCTACTTAGCACTCGCCTCACACTATGCGCCTACAACCCGCCTGCGGCTTCGCGTTCGAAGTAGGCGGTCAGCTTTCCTATTGGCACACCCGCAGCAAAAGCCCACCGATAACGTTTCATGAAAGCGACAATCTCTTGGTCCATCTGCTGCATTGCCCTCTGCTTGTGGTCCTCGAGCGCCTGGCCGGTATAAGCGAGATGCACTTCTGACTGCAGCTCCACCTCGCCGACCTCATGTCCAAAGTCCATTCTATCGAGCACAATCGTGAACCTCTCGTCCGCCAGCCACGTTGTCCTCGTCGTGGACATGTTTGCGATGCGATCGAGGCCGAAAGACTCGCGCTCGTTGCACCCTTGTC